TTACCAGCAATACATTTTTGAGGGAAAAATATCACCAGAAATAGAATTTTGAAGGAAAAAAATATCCCCAGCAATACATTTTTGAAAAAATATTACAAGTAATAGAAATTTTGTCGGTATTATATAACCCATTGAGGTTGATATACCGTAAAACAAACCAAACCAAACCAGACATTACAGAATTTGAATGCAGAGTTACTCCTTAAACTATGTTAAAAGATTCTGATACAGATTCTGGCATGGACGGTAAAATAATGGATAGCTGCTCGGATTGAGGAATCAGGGAGCCGAGTCCGAATTCCAAACTCTCGAGAAAGTATCTGTCTATATTTCTGAGATGAGGTATTATGTACATTATTTACATTATTCAGACTATTGTCCTCATCTTTGTCGCCATATTTATAAAAACGTTTCGGCCCTTGAGTATCTGTCTATATTTTTGAGATGAGGTATTATGTACACTATTTACATTATTCGCACTATTGTCCTCATCTTTGTCACCATATTTATTACAACGTTTCGGCCTTTCAGTATCTGTCTATATTTCTGACATGAGGTCTTATGTACACTATTTACATTATTCAGAGTATTGTCCTCATCTTTGTCGCCATATTTATTACAACGTTTCGGCCGTTGTACGCTCGGGCCTTCTTCAAATGGTTGGAATGTAGCAAGACATAATATTATAACCGCTAGGAATGTGTTATAACACTTTACTGAGGGTTACAAAGTACACGACGTTGTGGAGAGTCATCATCGTCCAAGTTCTGAAGGAACACCCGTATAAAGAAATATAAGTAGTAGCCACAGGCGATGGCACCCTCCAAAACCTAAACAAATCATTAAGAGATTTTAAAAAAAAGTCCTTAGAAACAAAAATATATATCTATGTAATAACCCAATGTCCTATATGGCAGTGATTGCTTAACAATCTACTCAAAAAGGAATTAAACACTTGAAGTAATAGAAATCCGGTTCTATAGATGAAACCTGAGAATACCATGGACGGAACATGTGAGCAATGAGGAAGGAAGAATACAGACAAAGTAAGGAGGACATTAATAAGAAAACCTGCATGGACATCAGATAAAAGTGACTCTCTAAATTGTGAGATGCAGAAATTTAATTACCTGGATAGTGCAGTAACATGTGAAGAAAAATGTGACAGAAATAAAGAAGTGAAATATGAATCGGGAAATATGCCTTTCAGAAACTAAGCAAAGAAAATGTGACAGAAATGCGTCTGTATATTAGTGAATACTGAACAATCCCCTTAGAGATGAGTAAACGACTTAAAGTGGGAAAGATGTGATTTTATTGACGCGTGCTCTCAATTCCATGGACAAAATACGTGAGGGACAAGAAAGTCAAGGAAAATAAGACTTACAAGGAAAACGTATACTTACAATAAAAAAGAAACAGCTGAAATTTCCAGTACACATAAAAGAAAAGCAGGTTTGCAGAAGTACAGGGGGCGATGGGTGAATTGTCGCCATTTTATATTTTTAATTTTGCGCATGCGCCTTGTTTGTTTTTGATTTTGTCAGCTGAACAATATAGTAGGGTCAGTTGGACACCATCTGTGAGAAAAAGAGCACCATGATACAATTCACTCCGCCAGAAATTCGGAAACAGTATGCTGTACTGCTTAGCATTCGCGCCGGAAGCCCCAATACGAACATTTCAGCGTGTTTAGGTGTCGATCTGAAAACAGTGCAGAAGATTCGGAAAGAGTTGGATGAGTCTAATGGTGATTACGAAGATACGGCAGCTCGGAAAACACACTCTGGTCGTTCTGAAGAAAATAACTTCCGTATTTGTTGGTGAGGGCCGCAGTCTCAACACGGAGGCCTACATTGAGGAGGTAGTGCTACACTACGGCAAGATAGTTGCTGCTGGGATAGCCTATGTCTGGCAACAGGACTCTGCACCATTCCACACAAGCAGGAGAACCAGTCATGGCTGTCAGACAATTTCTTCGACCACATCACCCCTTACACTTAATTCTCCAAACTGCAACCCCCTTTGATTATTTTGTGTGGGGCGCAGTTGTGCGAGAGACGAGCAAACTCTTTGTAACACCAAAGATGAAGCCAAGGTAAGTGTTATGGCAACATTGACTAACTTAAACAGGGAGACCGCCCAGAAGAGTTGCAGGAGATTCCGAAGTCGTCTGGTGGCTGTGGTTGAAGCCAATGGTGATTTTACTGAATAAATTTACTCTAGTATTTCAAGATATTTTTGTGTAATTTTGCCATCTGTTAAAATGTGATGTCAGTGTTATTTTCATTTTTGCGTCATTTAGACGACAATTTATCCATCGTGCTGTGTATGCTGATTGATTTACAAGTTTGAATGAACGGAGCAATGGAGCTGTTAAATGGGCAAAAAATATCTAAAGCAAAGAATGAAATTATGGCGAGCTATAGCAATACAAACACCATCTTATGCCATCGACTAACTTGTTATATTTATTTCTCAAAGCAGAAAAAATTTCTCAATTCCCCAAAAGACAGAAAGTTCTGGAGAGCCATAAAGAAGAATGTAATCTCTAAATTTAACCCTTTGGAAAAGGGAGCCTCCATGTTGCACAAAAAATTGATAAGATAGCAACACAACCACCACATTATACCGTCGACAAACTTGTCTCAGATTTTTCTTAAAGTTGTGCAAGATATATGGCATACTGATAAATATAAAAGATGAACTAGCATTTTTATATGATTATAATAAAAATTATTATTATTGTTATGCTAAACCCAAGGGGTCATGTCTAGGGTACCCAAAAGAGGATAGGCCTCAGGAGTTCGAGCATTTTTGTCCCTTGTCGCATGTGTGCGTAAGACACTCACTTTAAATCAGGTTTTGTGTCATACCCCGTTCGAGAATGCTTCCTGATAACAATGAGAAGTAACACAAAATTAAACAAACTGCCTTTGTCTGATATAAACGAATTCTTCCTATATATATATATATATATATATATAGCAAAGGTAACAAATCCGCTGGTATATAATCCAATTGGTTCTTAGTAATATAAAATATTAAAACTATACCACAAAGAGTTCAATGTATTTATTACAGAGCAAATAATTAATAAAATCACCTCATAAAATGGAATTAATATTTCATATAATAATTATATTATAATAATTTAATAATGTCATAATGTTAATATCGGATTTTAATTTTATAAAACTTCTTCCCTTTAAGACAAATACCTTCCACCCTACCCTAACAACTGTCTCATGCTTTTTGTCTGACTGAAACATTGAAATAAATAGAGATAAATTCAGTATTATTTTTTCGAACATATATATATATATATATATATATATATATATATATATATATATATATATATATAGCTTTCCCAATTAAATTTCTATTTCTGACATGAATTCAGTCCGTACCGGGGTTGATAAAACAGGTTACTTATATTTTTGTCTGCTGAAATAAGCTTATTCCCCATTTGAGGTGATTATGGATTTTATATATATATATATATATATATATATATATATATATATATATATATATATATATATATATTTTTTAGAATTTATAAAATATTTCTGAAATGTCTTCTTTTGGTAGACCTGGAGACGCAAAAGTCAGAAATAAATATTTATCCGAAGATTTTGAATAATTCATCTACAAAAATAGAAACATCGTCGAATTTTGAATCACCTAACGCCTGCTAAAAGCTGAAATAAAATAAATTGTAATTTCCCCTGGCTATTTCGTCGATGTGACATGAAAATTGGCTCTCAGATAAACTGCACTTTCTTCTTTCTTTCCTTTTTTTTCACTATGATCTAGCATATTTTTTAGATAAAAATGATTTGAAATAAATAAATCGATTCATCGAAAACACCGTTTGAATAATCTTAAATGTACTTACGAGGTGTACGGCAAAATTGGCCAATTGTTAGATTAAGCTCTGAACCAGTGTATCTTGGAAATGATTAAAGACATCTTACTGGAATTCTCCGGGGTTTTGATAACACTCTTGTACTCTACTTTGAGCAGTACGAATGTATAATTACTCCCCAAGCTTAACGAAAGTATCGTGTGGAATAAACGAAAATGACATGTTCATCATTAATTACTCATAGCTAAGGATCGGAAACTCAAGAAGTATTGAAATAAAGTGTATATATATATATAGTTCCAGGATCATTTTCCAACTTATTCAAGATGATCTTTGCCCTTTTTAACCTTCTAACTTTCTGTCCTGATGTAACACGGTATCTCAGATGTTTCACGTATGATTTCATTTTCAAATCTTTTTTCAGTGCTCTTTGGACTGTCATAGCTGAAACTCCTCTCTCAGTGACAAACGTCTTATGAAGTGAGTTGGATCTTTTCTAATTGATCTCCTTAGCTCTAAGTTGAAATGATGATCGCTCTTGCTGTTGTGACCTCCTGATCCAGTTTTCCTCTCTACTGTTCCCTCTTTTTTAAAACTTATTCACTATTCTCTTGATGGTTCTTGAATGGACTTTAAAGATGGAAGCCAAGGTATGAATGTTGGCAGCCTTACTTGAAGGCCTGGATGATCTTTGTCCTTTCACTATTTCTCAATTAGGAAGACAGTGGGGCTGACACAAAACAATTTTAACCTGGACTATTTCTAGCTGAATCACTCAAAGAGTTTTTCAGTGATTCTTACGACAAATGGTGTCAAGATGGCTAAACGTCTTATCTAAAAACATGGGAAAAAGAAACTCAATTAGTTTAGAGATTTTTTAGATATTAAGCATTTTGTGGGATAAACAATTTTGCTGTTACACGATTATTTGGATAATTTTGCTGTTACATCCGGTATATATTTGAATTAAATTTTTATCCGACATTCTTTCTCATTATTATAAACGTTATTTTTAGTGGTTACACATGTTTGGGATGCAACCCCCATGTTGTTCATTTGACTGTTTAAGAACATAAAAAAACAAAGATAGAAACTCAAATACATGTACCCAGTAAAAAACGTTTACAGTAATAGATAGACATGTAAATAATAAACAGTCGGAGTGATAGATAGATAGATAGATAGATAGATAGATAGATAGATAGATAGATAGATAGATGGGAACAAATTGAGTTGTTTAAATCAGCAGAGAACGAAGAAAAATATACATAGGAGTAACTAAAGGATCCTGGAAACAGAGCAACTACGCATACAAAACATCCCTCACAAATAATAAATACGCGAACAGCACAATGCTTTCTAAACATATATGAGAAATTGAAAACGAATTACACCAAAAAATATCGTGAAAAATAAGGAAAACGGCATCGGCTTACAACAATTAATACTGAATCTGTAAAGTTTTTCTAGAGGAGAAAATAGCTATGATCACTTTCTCAGAGGAACACAAATTACAAAATTAACGATCAGGACTCATCTCAAAATGCAGACACAAAAACAAATTTTTGCTACGTTATGTAAAAATCCAAAATTAAAAACGTATTCCTTGAATTATATCCAACGCAGTTAATGCAACGTATTAGACAAACACAACACTTTAAACTAAACAAATAAGATAATCAGCACCCATAAAAAAAATTAAAAGGAAATATTTATACGGATTATTATCATTATTATTATTATTATTATTATGTTGTTGTTGTTGTTGTTGTTGCTGGTAGATTAAATATTTTATAAACACTTCAAGAAACTGTCTCTTGTTGTCAAAGATTTCTTTTTAAATATGCGTTGTCTCTTTTTGCATGATAAATACTTCTTGGAATTTTTTCTTGATGAATCTTTCTTTGATGGACACTATTTTGGGATAATCTTCTATTGTTTGTATTATGTTTGTAGTTGTAAAAGAGAAATACTAATATATATATAGTCGACTCCCGTCGAGACTCGACGTATGAGAGCCGTATATATATATATATATATATATATATATATATATATATACCCTTGTGCAACTTAATTGAAACAAAACGAATAATTGCGTTACTATTTACTTTTTTTCATATTTTTCCAATGAAACATGACCTAGTGCACATGTTAGTACTTCGTATGTCCATTCCACGAAGTCGTTCCTTGCAGATTGACCTTAGATTCTCGATTGGATTTAAATCAGGAGAGTTTCCGGATCAGTCTATAGTACTTTCATTTGCTTACTGGTAAGGGTTGCCATTGTGTTTATGCATCGTTATAATTTTCGTACGTTTCATTGGAGTAATGTCCATCGCAGACAATGGCCGTAGGACAACTAATCGACAGTCGAGACATCACTGCAAATGTGCTAATCTGTGGTAAAAATAGAAATCGATTACACCCTGTCTCTCCGGAAGATCCGTTTAGGTGAAACCTAGATAGGTTTGCCTGGCTCCTTAGGATTATCTTAGGTTTGGCTCTACTTAGTGTATTGAGCACTTTACATAGTTGTCTTTTTTACTCGTTTTTTTTTTGGGGGGTTGGACTTGGAGCTTGAACACTGGACGATTGTTTTCGCCTTGGTTTAATGTTCTTGGTTCTTTCTTTTTTTATCCCCCATTTTTCCTTGGGTACCGATTTGTTCTACTGTAAGTTGACCTATCTGAGGTTTTCCGAACGAGTATCAATATATATATATATATATATATATATGTGTGTGTGTGTGTGTGTGTGTGTGTGTGTGTGTGTGTGTGTGTGTGTGTATTATTATTATTAGCTTTCCCTGACGATCCGCTTAGGTTGAAACCTTGGTAGGTTTGTCTGGCTCTCTAGGTTTAACTATGCACACACACACACACACACACACACACATATATATATATATGTGTGTGTGTGTGTGTGTGTGTGTGTGACATTAAGTATTGCATTAATCTATCAGCTAAGGTTTTTATTGTTCTATTTATCCGGACTTTACCTCAACTTTACTTACTTTACTTACGCTGTAAGTAAAGAAAATATATTTTACAGAATTATACATGTCATAATTAGCATATATTCGCCATCAATATAAAAATCGTGTGGAGACATCTGAGAATATCACACCGTGTACACGGCAAAGTTATTTAATTTATGATTATTATATTCGTCAAAACAATACAGAAAGAACTCCATTCACCTATAATTTGTGGCCAGTCAACGACTTCCCTTCTGTGACGACAGCTGCAAGAAATGCAAAACCCTTACAATAACATAAAATATACATTTTTTTTTATTTACATATATTAAAATAATAGGAAAGAACAGTATGATTTATAATCCGGTGTTCTTAGCAATTATTTTTATTTAATAAAAAAATAGGCCTCGATACAAACAGTAGAGCAAAATATTATAATTATTTTCTTTTTTAAAAAGTATGATTCCATAGCGACACGGAAATTTCTGTTTGAAAACTGAAACTAAATTTATAAATTCAATTGTAAAAATTAAACTTAAATTCCATAGTTTCGTTCCATTGTCAGATGTTAGAAATTTGACAAGTTCAAAATGGAAAAAAAAAAAATTACAAGAAGCAATTTTGTGCGATCGTCATCGTACTGTCGATGAGCTACCAGAAAACCCTGGCATATTTTAACGATCCATTATATGTTTTAAACAAAATATTACAAAAAATATCCAGAAATAAGCGATCAACTCAGCATCACGTCACTCGGGAGACTGTTTACGAAAGTTGTAGGCTCGTGGTCCGAAAGTGGTCAATATACACTGCGTGCCAAATTATTATCGAGATAACTTTTGTTCTAATATTTCAAAAACCGTCCAATCAATTCACATAAGATTTTCACACAATGTTGGCAATACTGACCTGCACAATCCCTGAAATTTTCGTACTGATCTGCGCAACGTAAACAAACTGGCGCTATATTTGTTATCAGCACGGTGATTTGAGCGTGCCACATTATTAGAAAGGTTTAGTAAAATTCTCAGAATTGAGCAAACAAAACGTTTATTAATGTTGCATGTGAATGTTTATGATCAAAAGAAGCTAATAAATAAGATAATCAAACAAATAATAACAGATACAAACAAAGGCACAGTTTTAAACAAATTAATAGGGGATGTGCTTTCCCTGTTTTGAAATTACTTGAAGAAGTCGACGATCTATACAATTTGTTAATTGTAGGATGTCATCTGCTGTAATGCCGTGAGATATGTCAAGAATTGCTTTCTACAACTCAGCGTTGCTCCTGAATTGTCGTTCATTGGCGTACAGTCTTCGCTTCATGGTTCTCCAAAGGTTTTCGATTGGGTTCAAATCCGGAGAATTTGCTGGTCACTTCATATTTCGAGGTCCATCGAAGCCTAACTGTTTCAAATATTCAGTAGTCTTGTGAGCAGCATGTGAGGGAGCATTATCTTGCATAAAAACAATGGCCCTTCTGATGTCAACTCTTTGCCTTTTCATCCATGGTTCAAGATGCTTCTTCATAAACGCTATGTATGCATCAGCAGTCATTTTGACGCCATCTGGTACTCTCCATGGGCCCACTAATGTTTTTCCAATAATACCACCCAGATCATTATGCCTCCACCGCCTTGTTGGCGTCTCAGACGCTGATGGCGATTCTGTCCGTTCATTACCCAGCCTTTGCACCATCTATCTGGCCCATCAAGTGTTGCTCGAGTTTTGTCTGTGATAAGTTAATCTTCATATTGTCCTCGGCCAATTTCAATCGATTTCGAATGTGATTTCTCGTCAACGGAGGCTTCGATACAGGTTTGACTGTTGTTGCTATTTCCCTCAGATACCGACACCGAGTACTTTTAGACACAGTAGGATCCCCAATGCGACTGAAAAGCTCTTGACTGGTAAGTCCAGGGTTCTTCGTGGCCTCTCGTTTAAGTCGTGACATGAGACGACGTGAAATAACCCTCGGCTTGCCTTTTTCTGCCCTTTTGCGTACTTGTATAGGGTCGGCGGTGAACTTTTTTACTGTTTGATGACACCTCCCATTTAGAAATTTCTATGGTAGATTTACCTTTTGAGAGTTCTGAGGTGATAGTTTTCTTTACAGCATCACTTAAACTGCTTTTACGGCCCATCTTTTCACTAAATTCTGACACTTTTCTAATAATTTGGCACGCTCAAATCACCGTGCTGATAACAAATATGGCGCCAGTTTGGGTTACATTGCGCAGATCAGTACGAAAATTTCAGCGATTGCGCAGGTCAGTGTTGCCAACCTTGTGTGAAAATCTTATGTGAATTGATTGGACGGTTTTTGAAATATTAGAACAAAAGTTATCTCGATAATAATTTGGCACGCAGTGTAGGTACCTTGGGGAGAGGCGATGGGCGAGAGGTTATTATTATTATTATTATTATTATTATTATTATTATTATTATTATCTACATTCGTATAAGTGAAGAAATTAAATGTTCAGATTTTGACCTCGAGATATAGATGAAACCTAGAAAAATTATAGGAAGTCTTTAAAGTACGTTTTGGGAACATTATTAAAATGAACGGACCTAAATGGAATGTCATACCGTTTAATTTGGAAATGCAACATGCAGATACTGAATCACGCTCGCGAGATGATCTCATTAATATGTAATTAGGATGTCGAAAGTAGAATGCCCAAGCGGAGAATACAGAGATACTCACTTGAACATTCAGATCGACAATACTGTGCTGATTAATTCATCAAGATGTAGACGTAAGCAAGCTACTAGCAGAACCAAATAAGTCCAATTCCATCCATTTCATATACAGACAAACCTCTCATCTACGGACCCCCCTCCCCACCATCAACGGACTTCGGATGCAACGGACAAAATCTGCAAGCAAAGTGAAAACATCTACAGATAAATAAATAAATCCAAATCTTCAGCTATGAATTTCAAAATTTGATTTTCGGGCATAGCGGACCGAGTCGTATTAGTTCTCAAAATAACTGCTTGACGGCGGTGTCGGCTCTTTTCAAATGTAAACAAAGATAGGTGTACAGTATATAAAGTACGATACATCAGATTATATATACGGCATACCGTATATATACAGTACAGTATTTATTTATGTCATATATACATGTTTATAGTATTTACCTTATGATTATAACTACTGGTAGTTACTATAGTGATTTTCTAACTAAAAAATAATCCCTTCCCATCTACGGACAATCGGATTTAACGGACCACCATCCCCCTATTAATCCGTTGATGAGAGGTTAGTCTAATCGTTATCACCCCA